CCTCCCTTGGTGTTCATACCTCTACTGCTAGCAGAGCACCTCACCCTCCCTGATTGAACTAACCCCATTATCTCCATACTGATTTATACCTGCCTCTGGAAATTTCCATTACTTGCATCTGAAGAAGTGAGGTTCTTACCCACGAAAGCTTATGCTCCCAATACTTCTGTTAGTCTTAAAGATGCCATAGGACCCTCTGTTGCCTTTTACAGATTCAGACTAACACGGCTACCCCTCTGAGACTTGAATCTCATTAGAAAATGCTGCAAAATCTTCAAAAAGGCATTTCTACCACAAGCATGACATTCATCACACTGACACACCTTCTACAGAAAAAAAACTGTAAATAGCAAACAAAACCCTGAAAGAAACCAGCTTTAAAAATAAAAGTGAATTAATAAAAAAAAAATTATAAAAACCCTACTCCAAGCAGGGTTTTAACCCTGAAAAGGCAGAAGAGCCAGAGACTCCATGAAGTTCCCTATGGACTTTGCTATTGCTGTTGATTTTACATGGAAAGTGCACAGATACAACAGTGGTGGACAGCGGTATAAAACTTTAAGATCGATAATGCTTCATAAAAGTAATGGATCTGTGGACTCCTGGCATACTTCACTCAATAACAGAACAAAATGTTTTCTTTTTTCTGAATTATTGAAGGGTTTTTTTTTAATTAGAATATTGTTCCTTTTAAGAAACACACTTCTTTTTTTTTTTAATTTGGCAGATGTCCTTACTTCCGAGGCCTCTGGGGAGATTACTGGTACATGGGTCACAAATGTGAACAACTCTGGAATACTTTGGACTTGATTTTAGTAACTGTACTTCCTGCAGTAGCACTGGCTTTCCTAGTTGGTGTAATAATACAGTGTGTCTACTACTGTAAAAACAAGTCAAATAAAAGTGTTAAAGGAGCTAGGTAAGTTATTTTTTACATAATTAAATGTTTTTGCTGATCAAAGAAATGAATCTAGAAATAATTAACTGCTTATTTTATGTATATGTTGGACGACTTCAATAGAGGATCATAATTTTTTACAAATCAACTCAAAAGAATTGTGTGGAAGAGTTGGTCTCAATATAATGGAACAGATACCCAAACTTTGTGTGAAACAAAGCAAATCCTGGAATTTGAATTTATTTGCAGCTTCTGGTGATTTAAATTAACAGTGTTTACAGTCCAAAATCTCCACCCACTTTGTATCTGATCTATTTTAAGACTAAATCAAAAAACATCATATCAAAACTAGGGTTGTCAAACTATTTTTAAAAATTGCGATTAATCATGAGATTTTAAAACATCGTGATTAATCACAGTTTTAATTGCTAATTCTGTTAATAATAGAATACCATTTATTTAAATATTTTGGGTGTTTTCTACATTTTCAAATATTGATTTAAATTACAATACAGAATACAAAATGTACAGCGCTAACTTGATATTATTTTATTACAAATATTTGCACTGTAAAAAAGTAAAAGTAATTTTTTCAATTCACCTCATACAAGTACTGTAATGCAATCTATATCGTGAAACAGCAACTTACAAATCTACATTTGTGTTTGTTTGTTACATAACTGCACTCAAATAAAACAATGTAAAACTTCAGATCCTACCAGTGCACTCAGTCCTACTTCTTGTTCAGCCAATTGTTAAGACAAACCAGTTTGTTTACATTTACGGGAGATAATGCTGCCCACTTCTTATTTACAATGTCACCTGAAAGTGAGGACAGGCATTCACATGGCACTGTTATAGCTGGCGTTGCAAAGTATTCACATGCCAGACATGCTAAACATTTGTATGCCCCTTCATTCTTTGACCACCATTCCAGAGGACATGCTTCCACGTTGATGACTGGTTCTGCTCGATAACGATCCAAAGTAGTGTGGAATGATGCCAGTTCATTTTCACCATCTGAGTTAGATGCCACCAACAGAAGTTTGATTTTCCTTTTTGGTGATTCGGATTCTGTAGTTTCTGCATCGGAATGTTGCTATTTTAAGACTTCTGACAACATGACATTGTCCCTCTAAGATTTTGGAAAGCACTTCAGATTCTTAAATCTTGGGTTGAGTGCTATAGCTATCTTTAGAAATCTCATATTGGTACCTTCTTTGTGTTCTTAAATCAAACAACATGTGCTGGGTCGTCATCTGAGACTGCCATAATATGAAATATATGGCAGAATGCGGGTAAAATCACAGAGCAGGAGACATAATTCTCCCCAAGGAGTTCAGTCACAAATTTAATTAACACATTAGGTTTCTTTTAAGGAGCATCATCAGCGTGGAAATATGTCCTCTGGAATAGTGGCCAAAGCATGAAGGGGCTTACAAATGTTTAGCATGTCTGGCACATTCTATATCTCCACAATACAGCAGGCTCAATTTTGGCCTCAGTTAAGCCTCTGCAGCACAGTCCATGAAGTTGCACAGGTGTAAATGAGGGGGACATTTGGCCCAACATTTGCAATTTACTTCAGCAAGTGTTTTTAGTTAACATCTACGGCCACTGAATACACTTTTATCATGATTAATTGGCATGGTACATACTAATCTATGCAGTTGAGGATTGTAATAAAGATTCAGTGTTCTTAATCTATATCAGGGTTGGCAACCTTTTAGAAGTGGTGTGCCGAGTCTTCATTTATTCACTCTGATTTAAGGTTTCGCGTGCCAGTAATACATTTTAATGTTTTTAGAAGGTCTCTTTCTATAAGTCTATAATATATAACTAAACTATTGTTATATGTAAAGTAAATAAGGTTTTTAAAATGTTTAAGTAACTTCATTTAAAATTAAATTTAAAATGCAGAGCCCCCCGGACCGGTAGCCAGGACCCGGGCACTGTGAGTGCCACTGAAAATCAGCTCGCATGCCGCAGGTTGCCTACCCCTGGTCTATATTGTACCTGTGTACAAGGGAGAAGGAGGACCTAAGTTTTTCATAAAAGACATGTTCATGAACATACTCCACATCATGGTTTGTTTTTAATTTCAGGAAACAGGCAAGACAAACAAAACTCGAGTCACAGCATAACCCTGTGTTTGTACCTGAGCTGGGTGATAACTCAAGATATGTTTCTCAACAGCAGTGGGCTAAGGTAAAAAAGTGAAATATTTGCCATCTAGCTTGTGTCACATGCACCCATTTCAAGTGGAAATCAGATGTGATTTTGTAATGTTCAATGTATTGGTGAATAGTATTTGAAACAGTATTTGCAATACATTTTTGTAGGCCAGTATGTTAAACAATCAGGGCTTAAAATCTGAGTTTGTCTTCATTCACCCAGTGCTTGATGCTGCCTTGCATCCAAGCAGTGCAGGTGAGAGGAGGAAACAAGCCAGCATTAAAAGTGCAATGAATACAGGCAAGTATGTGTGAATATAGTGCTTGTGAAAAACAGATCCTCAGTTTATCTACAGAACAGGTACTGCGTGGACAGCAGTAGTGCAGATTTCCACTGCTATGGTCTGCCAGTGTGTCTCAACACTGACCTCTAACAATAGTCAGCTCAGGTTGCTGAGAAAGTGCTTTGCTTTCCTATTCACTTTACTTATCGCTTTCCTAACAAACATAAATATACCCGTATGTAGTGTTGTTGTTTCCATGTTGGTCCCACAATATACCTGTCATGTTGCAATATGAGGCTCACACCTGCATTGTCATTACTGTAAATACAGAGTAAAATTGTTTGCCTGCAAATTTTAAAAACATGTTAAGTTCCGCATGTACAAAATAGATATGTTTACAAATTTGATGGGCGCATTTAAGGAAGCCTAGCAAGGATTTGTTCCATACCGTCTCTCTTGAAATATGTATCTAGAGACAACAGCTCAAGCTCTATGGTCGTGTTGTGTTGTAATGAAGATCTATCGGGGCAGATTCTTAGCTGATGTACTAGCATAACTGCTTTGAAATTAATGAAGCTATACTAATTTATACTTGCTTCGGGCCTGGCCCATCATGAAAAAAGATAATGTAATGCCTTAAAATTGGATACAATGAAATCTTAGACTAAAGCTGTATATAAGCTATGAATGTAAGTATTTCTTCCAACTGTATTTAGTTTGCCTTTCAATTTATTCTAGGTGAAGGGCTAACCTCTGGGTAAAACTGTAATAGTGTGGCCCTTCTTTCTCCTGCCACGTATGTTGTGAGACTTCTCATCTACAGACACTTCTGTGGGGTGGATTGGTTGGCATTGGCTAGCCAGCAGAGTATGGTTATGCATAACGTAATTTTCAGTTTGCCTCTGTTCTTATTCCCTAGATGAACAGTCAAGCATGTGATAGGACATATGTACTACATACTAAGAAGTTTTACCATAATTCATAATATAAATTCAATTAAAATACACAGTGTATCACTGAATTAGTATTGAGGCTGGAATACTTTAAACAACCACTTCCTGTTTTATAATTTTATATTTGGAACAAGGATGAGTCAAATCCTAAATTCACATTGAAGTGAACGTGCAGCAACGTCTTTTACTAGTTGGCTAAATTGACCTGAAGCACAGAAGTTACATAAAACTGGCCCAACGGCACACTGTGAGTCAATGACAGAGTCCTGCCTTCATTCTGGGATACATTCTTTAGGATAGTATCTAAACATTTATATGGCACTCATCACCATTGTGTCAAAGCGCCTCACAATCATTTTAATGAATTTTATCTTCACAAACTCCTTGTCAAACAGGGTAAATTAAGAGTAGCCCAAGGCCACAAAGGAAATCTATGACTGAGCTGGGACTTAAACTCCTGAGTGCCAGTCTATAGTGTCCTACTCACTAGACCATCCCTCCTATGCCAATATCCCACTCCTGACTCACAACTCTGTTCTCTAACCATAGACAACACAGTTTCAGTAACAGAGATTGCCACTTGTACTAGCCAGCAACGTAAAGAAGAAATGGCTATATAAACTTTCCCTGTATGAGATAAGGGACAGACAGGAACTCACTGTAATTTCCATATTCTCTATTTCTTCTTCGAGTGATTGTTCATGTCCATTCCAACCAGGTGTGCGCGCACCGCGTGCACGCCAGCCAGAAGATTTTTCCCTTAGCGTCCGTAGGGTTGGTCTTGGCTGGCGTCGGTGTATCAGCCAGCCCGAGATGTTCTGGATGGCATTGTAACCCTCCCCCGCCCGGTGTTGGACTCCCTTCTATGGTGGCTCGACCCGCGAGTGGTTTGTGCGGGAGTGCCTTTTGCCAGCCCTCATCCCTCTCTCTCTTTGGTGACGGACGCCTCGGACCTGGGCTGGGGAGCTCATCTAGGGGATCTCAGGACTCAGGCCTCTGGTCTCAGGCGGACCTCGCTCTGCACATCAATGTCAGAGAACTGAGAGCGGTGCGCCTGGCATGCCATGCTTTCAAAACCCACATAGCAGGCAAGCGCATATCAGTCCTCACGGACAACACCTCGGCAATGTTCTATATCAACAAACAGGGGGGTGCACGCTCCTCTCCCCTGTGCCGGGAAGCCCTCTCGCTGTGGGACTTCTGCGTAGAGCACTCAATCCACCTGCAGGTGTCATACCTCTCAGGGGTTCAGAACGCGCTGGCAAACAGTCTCAGCTGGACCTTCCACTGCCACAAGTGATCCCTCCAGCCAAACGTGGTGAGCTCAATCTTCCATCTCTGGGGCACTCCCCAGGTAGACCTGTTCACCACTTGCAGCAACAGGAAATGTCAGCTATTCTGCTCCCTCATGAGTCACAGCCTGGGGTCCATCGCGGATGCCTTCCTCCTCCCGTGTGGGGGGGCTGACTGCTCTATGCCTTCCCACCAATTCCGCTGGTTCACAAGGTGCTCCTCAAGATCCGCAGGGACCGGGACCGAGTCATACTAATAGCGCCGGTGTGGCCACGCCAGCACTGGTTCACGTCGCTCCTGGGAATGTCCGTAGCGGCACTGCTTACTTTACCGCTGGTTCCGGATCTGATCATGCAGGACCCTGGCCGACTCCAACACCCAAATCTAGAGTCGCTCCACCTCATGGCCTTGGATACTCCATGGCTAAACACCACGGAGCTGGCCTGCTCGGACCAAGTCAGACAGGTCCTCCTTGGTAGTAGAAAGCCCTCAACCAGAGCAACGTACCTTGCCAAGGGGAAGAGATTTTCCATCTGGGCGGGACAACGCAGTCAGCCGCCATTGCTTGCCCCCATACTGTTCGTACTGGACTACCTCCTTCACCTAAAACAACAAGACCTGTCCCTGTCATCGATAAGGGTCCACTTAGCCACCATCTCCTCCTTCCATCTGGGCACTGACGGCTTCTCGGTCTTCGCAAACCCTTTAGTCAGTCATTTCCTCAGGGGCCCCCATTCGCATCAGCCTGTCCTTTCCAGACTTAGGGGCCCTCCATTTGAATCACTGGTGACATGCTCCTTGCTCTGTCTCTCATACAAGGTCACATTCCTCGTGGCAATCATCTCGGCTAGATGGGTATCGGAGCTCAGAGCCCTTACGTCCGAGCCCCCTTACACAGTTTTTCATAAGGACCAGGTCCAACTCAGACCTCACTCGGCCTTTCTCCCCAAGGTTGTCTCCCAGTTCCACATGGTCCAGGACATCTTCCTCCTAGTGTTCTATCCCAAGCCACACTCCTCCGATAGGGAGCGCAGGCTGCACTCACTGGACGTACGTAGGGCCCTAGCCTTCTACATAGAGAGGACTAAGTCGTTCCAGAAGTCCGTCCAACTCTTCGTGGCCGTGGCGGACAGAATGAAAGGTCTCCCTGTCTCTTCTCAATGTATCTCGTCATGGATCACATCCTGCATTCGGGAGTGTTACGGCCTGGTGAGAGTGCCCACCCCGCCGATTACCGCCCTCCTCGGCGGCGTTCCTGGTGCAAGTCCCTACCCAGGAAATCTGCAAGGTGGCTATGTGGTCATCGATACATTCATGACGCACTATGCAATTACACAACAGGCTAGAAACAATGTGGCCTTTGGACGCGGTGAGCTCCAATCAATGCATGACTCTGACCCCACCTCCTGACCTTTGGCTTGTGAGTCACCTGGTTGGAATGGACATGAACAGTCACTCGAAGAAGAAAAAATGGTTACTCACTTTCTCGTAACTGTCGTTCTTCAACATGCGTTGTTCATGTCCATTCCAATACCCACCCTCCTACCCCTTTGTTGGAATAGCCAGCAAGAAGGAACTGAGGGGATGGAGAGTCGGTAAGGCCCTATATTGGGCGCCATGAAGGCGCCACTCCAGAGGGCAGTCAGGCCAACCCTACAGACGCTGCTAAGGGAAAAATCTTCCAGCTGGCGTGCACGCGGTGCGCACGCACCTGGCTGGAATGGACATGAACAACACATCTCAAAGAACAACAGTTACGAGAAAGTGAATAACCGTTTTTTTTTCATTTGGACCTGTGCATGTAAGTAATCTCATTTACAAACAACAAATCTGGCTGCCTGAGAAATTAAAGCAGATATCTGCCATGATAAATGTATTTGTAAAATATTTTAATAGAAAATCATTTATTTTATCACTTAACAGAAATACATAAGGCACAGTTTTTCTTTCACCAGTAGATGGTGCTGTTTGATTTTTTTTTTAATAATTATTGCTGAATTTGAATCACAGAATATCAGGGTTGGAAGGGACCTCAGGAGATCATCTAGTCCAACCCTCTGCTCAAAGCAGGACCAGTCCCCAGACAGATTTTTGCCCCAGATCCCTAAATGGCCCCCTCAGGGATTGAACTCTCAACCCTGGGTTTAGCAGGCCAATGCTCTACTACAGATGCTAACTTTATCTTTTCTTACTGAAGTAGTAAATAACCTACCTGTCGAATGAAAAGTATAAGTGCTACAAATTAGGAATCCACTTCTGCAGCCCTTACTCGTGTGAGCAGTCTCACTAGAGATGTAAGAGCAACTGCATTATGCCATCGTTCACCTCCATGGTATTATCTTATAATGAAATATTTCTTCAAATTGTTAGTTTCTAAAAACCAAAAATATTACGTTAATGTGTTAACTATTTTAAATTAAGTTATTACAGCAAAAGAAGGCCAGATCCTAAGCTATGCTATGTCCTTATTATGATACCAAAGCAGTAAAATGGCCCTATAAAACTGCCATAAAGGAGAAGCTAGCTGGTGAGTTTCCCATTGTGGGGAATACCCAGGTGGTGTAAAGATGGCATAGGGGGCATGGCCAGTGTGCACTGTAGTCCTGAAAATCCCTGCTACTGTAATAGCCCTATTGCCCTGAGCAATTAGCCAACATTTGGGGTCTTGTTGCGTTGTTTACATTGGGAGGGGAGAGTGATGATATAAGTCAGGTGTTTCTTTGGTGCAATCCTGTTTATTTACAAAGAATGGACACAAAATCCTGTTTACCTGAACACAGTAGGAACAAACAACAGGGGCAGTTTTCTTGCTTATTATTTGCAAGCCTGCCTTTTCAGCCAGCACTTTGCTCAAAAGAAGCTCTTTTGGCTTCCTCTCCGGGCCATGCTACTTGTACTTCTCTCACTTTCCTGACTGCTTTCAGTTGGCTTTCTGCCTTTAAAGGGGAGAGAGACACACACCCTTACCTACACTTACCTGCAATCCACTCAATGCCCCAGCCCCTCCATTTGTAATCAGTCCCATGGAAATCCCACTTTTTTTCCCTTAGTTCATTCGTGCTCAGGTTTTCCATGTGGCTGATGCTTTGGGCAGTGGCTTCTATTGTTTCAGCTATCTTATTCCATAAAGGAGCTTACTTGCTTTTTCCATTTATCCAGAATGAAGGATGGTCAGCATGCCCATCAGCTGCAATGAGATATTTTATTGCCCACAGATCAGACTTGCTTCCTGGAAGCTACCAACACCCTCCAGCACAACAGCCCCATTGGGGTTACGAATTAGAGTATCCCTAAGTAACTATGCCTTTGGGTGGTGATTCTGCTGCAGCTGCTAACACTCCAATAAAGAAAATATTGACAGTCTAAGAAATAGAGAAAACTAAAAGGATGGTGCCGCTGACATTAGTTGGATATTTGCCTAAATAAGGAAACCAGAACCAATGCTTTCATGCATTAGACAAAATTGGACCAGTCAAAACACTAGAAACTGTACATTTAGGGACACTGGCAGGGAGATGGGCCATATAATTCTTCCCTCCAGATGCTAGTGTGTTAAGTTAACAAGTTGCTGATGATCCTGACTTGTTGTAGCTTTAGAAGAGGAAACCTAATTTGAGCTTGGTTGCCACTACAGAGTACATATTTTGATTCTTCAGATTGCTCCCTTTCCTGCTCCATGAAAACGATGCTCTGGTGTTTTGTCATTCCCTTTTTAGGAGAGGATCTCTCTGCAAAACCAAAAGATACTGCATTAAAAACCAGCGACTCTACAATTACTCGCACATATTAGCCCTCCACTCTACATCCTCTTCCTTCTCTCTCTCTCTCTCTCTCTCTCTCTCCTCCTCCTCCATAATACATTTGATGAAAAAGAGAAACATA